AACTAATGCTGGCTAACTTTGTCGGTATTGTGTCCTTTTCGAGAATCTGTCTTTCGTGATTTTGGAGTAGAACCGGTTAAATGTAGTAATTTTCTATTTAATAATATTAAAGCCCAGTACTACACACCGGGTTAAAGACTATATAAAAATTAAATTATTTATTTAATAATATTAAAAGTCATAGCAATGCATTGATTTAAAAACTATTAATTATAATAAAAAATAAATTTATATTAAGTTTATTGTTTAATAACGTTAAAGCCCGGTGCTACGCACCGGGTTAAAGACTATATTAATATTTTTTGAATTTTAATTTTATACTTACAGTAACGTTAATATAAAAATGTCTTTGGCTAAACTAACATCTGGATATGTTATACACGTATGTACTGTGTTTTAAATTAATGAACAAATTTGTTTATAGATTAAAAAATAACATCTTTTTAATACGTAGAATCGTAGTTATAACTTTTTGGTCATATTAAAAGAATTTTTTACTATAATTATTTATTTTATTTAAAAGTAAAAATTAAATAATTTACAGTAATAGATCACATCAAGATGAATTCGATCATCATATGATAATGAAATTTGTTGGTGGTTCTGAGATGGTTTTGCGAAAACTTCGCTTTTAACTAAAGCAGCACTTAACAACCAAAAATATTAACGTTAATATTTTTGTACGTATATATCGGTATATAATTGATATATTTTTAAACTACGTATTTCGTTGAAAAAAAAAAAATCTAAAAATAAGCAACGCCTTTTTTAGAAAATATCGACAGATTTAATTTGTGTAATTAATTTTGTAAGCCTTTCTTTTTCTTTTTGTATAACAGTGTCTGATAAGTAATCAAGTCAAGGAAAAGACCCCTAACGGCTATGAAAAACCGTGCCGCACTAGCGTTAGAAAAATTTGCAAATAGTTAAATAAATTTGTAAAAAGGTACAATAAATTCTTTATTACGTGTTACAGTAAACAATAATGTTTAATTCTAGCAGAAAAGGCTTTTTTTTTTGTTAAGGTTTATTCATTTTTTCAGTCAGATGATGTAGTTACAACAACAGACAAACATCAAGTCACGAGAACTTGATATTATAGATATAATAAATAATAAAAAAGAAATGCGTGTTATAAACATGGCTCTTAAATCTCCCACTCTCTCAAGTATATCAAGCATAATGATTACTTATCTATTCGTATCTATTTACATGTATGTATGCATGCAATATAATGTTTTGCTAGTTGCATCAAGATGGTTTAATTTCTTTATGCCGTACTACATCGCATGTTTCGTTGCCAGCCCGTAAAATTTAATGTCACCTTACTACTTTGAGACACGTAACTCATAAAATGCAAGGAAAAAAGAAATTAAAGGACATTCTCAGAAGGATTTCCGAAAACGTTTCAGTACCCCTATTTTTGATAAGATTTGGGAAATCTATATTTAAGGTTTATTAGAGTTCTATCTAGACTCTAGTATTAACGAATTGCAATTATTGTAATTAAATTGATTAAAATTGATTTTCAAATTACAAATATTGTAATTCTCATTTGGTTTGTCATTTGTAATAAAAGCTGATTTATTAGTTCAATACAAATATATCTTTATTTAAAGTATTTTTTTAGTAATTTTTTCTGGCATTTTTTTAAGGGCGATCCTTAAGAAAGAATGCTTGTTTCATTCATGATTTAATGAGATTAACACTTTAATATGACTCACAAGACCTAGCTTTGATTTTCTAGACGCGCCACATCGTATAGAAGTTCTTAACAGTTAAGAACGAGCGGATGTTATTTTAACGTAATTATACGTAGTAAATGCTTCCAAGAAGATCGCCGAGTTGTAATTTAATAAACAATGTCTTGTGAACTCATCTCTTAAGGGGTGTATGCATCTAGAAGATTCTTACCTAGAAAATAGGTAAATATCCGACTTTCATAGTGTATATATATATATATATATATAAATAAATAAATAAATAAATAAATATATATATATATATATATATATATATATATACATTAAAAAGGGCATAACTAAATGTATATTTTGTTTTTCTGTGGTGATACGTGTAAATTCGGGTTTAAAATGTGGATAACGAATGTAGTGTATAAATTAATGATTATATAATTGAAACTAACTTATAAGGACAACTAAAAAACGGAAATGCATTTTAAAAAAAAAATTAACTTTTCCCTTCAACCGCCACATACAGAAAAGTCGATGAACTTTCGGAGCTTAGGACTGCCACGGTGGCTATAAAATGACAATTCAATAGAATAGCATCTCTCAAAACAAATAAAAAAAAAAGAAAAAAAAAAACTTTATAAATTTCATAATCTCAAAAAAAAAAAAAAATGTCTACTAATAAACAGACCAATTCTCGTGATTCAGGAGTCTTTTTTGACCTTGACTTTGATTTTGAAATTAACGTTAGCGAAAAATCTAGTACACCTTATAGTAATTATCTGGGACTTTACATCCCGGTAAAAAAATCGATCTGTAAGGAAACCGACGACGAAACTTTTTTCACCATTTACCCGTTAGAAGTGGTTTTACCTCCAAAATTACCAGCTGATACAGATGTTCCTTTTTCTTTTTATCTTGGCTTAAACACACAAAAAACAACTAAGCGCGAACATAGGAGATCTCAACGTATTACCTCTTTTTATTTTGTCGATTTAAATTCATCAAATGATAATGGGCTTCGATCTATGGATAAAACGTTTACACCAAAAGCAGGATGACAAAATTACCTTGCAATAAGAACCATCAAGTATTAAATGAGGTTAGTTCACCTAAATTTTAATCTTTCATTACGTATGAAAAAAATCTTTTTAAATATATTTAAATCCCTCTTTCAATAGGTTTACTCTACGTGTGTAAATTTCATTTTACTATAAACTCATTGTCAACTAGATAAATTATCGTGTTGCGCGAACTAAAATACCCCTTACAAAAAAAAGGGGTTAACGCTATGTCACGAGTTTTATCAATTCAGACACACCAATTAGTTCATCACGATCGCTCGCTACAAGCTAGACAATCATACTATATAGTATATTTTGTATTAATAACGCAAAAACTATTAAGAATAATGTTTAAGGGTGGCTTAGATATAGCTAGTATATAGTAGTGTAATATTTATTAACTAATGAATAATGAACATCTTGATAGTCCATATTAAACTATCTCGATAACAACAAGTTTTTTACTTGGTAACTCTTTCTACAATATATAGAGGAAGAGTTCAATAGCAAGTTTTTTACTTGGTAAATCTTATATTGAACGAGAGTTGTATATATGTGGAAGATGTAATAACTTGGAGAGGTTAATATAACATCACAATGGACATTAATAACCGATAATTAATCACGCATACTGTATATATACTGTACTGTATGTATCTTATATATATATATATATATATATATATATATATATATATTAATTAATTAATTAATTAATTATATAATTATAATTCATTAAAAAAAATAATAATTAAAAAATATATATATCCAAATAAGTGGATTATCACGTGACACGGGTTAATAATCTTTAGCCACTAAACTGGAAGTTGCTATACCAGGAACGAGATTTCACATGTTGTATTTGTACATTCCCACGTTATTGTTATTTATGGCTTAGTCATATATGTCTATTTGTTTATGCAAAAGATGGTTGAGAAATAGCAAAGATGAACAATTACGAGTAGGTTCTAAGGTGTGGCAGAAGTTGAGGATGCATAGAGGCAGAGATGCTGATGAATTAATTTCACAATTTTATCAACAGTGATGAGGATTATTTCTACATTGGTTTAAATTCCATCAGTAATTGATATAATTGGTTTTCTTAGAAACTTTAGTAAACAATAGAAATCTAAATAAATAAATAAATAAAAAAAGTCATTATATACGTTAATAATAATCCATGCCGTATTTTTTATACAATTAAAAATTGAATAAATGTTCGCATATAGGTGCTGAGAAAAGGGACCAACTTAATTTCCTCGATGATAATCTAATCGAATTTTGATTTTTTTTTTTTTTTTTTTTTTTTTTTTAATGTTAAAGGTGAGGTCTTAATAAAAAATTTGATATATAAATCTAAATCTAATTTTTGCAAAAAATTAAATCTTATCTTTGGTTGCTCCAATTTGATTTACTAGGTGAGTTTAAACGACGAGTATCGTTAACATAGTATACGGGTGATCGTTCGTAATATGATTTTCGAATCTATAATATATATCTGATATACTTGTTGGAGCTAGAAATTATTGTCGCGGATAATCATGAATCGGATGATGCATCTGATTGGTTAGGTTTAAGTGATTAACCAATGGAAGCTTTAGATTTCATGATCATCCGAATTTCACGACAATTATTCAATTAATAGTTTATCCGCTTCCATATCTTAAATTTTGGTTAAACTCAATTCTTTAAAAGTTTATATAATACCCAGAAATCTTCAAAAATTATTTTT